CATCAGGTGGGATGTCAGAGCCACCGGCCTGTAGGGTTAGAGCCCTTATAAAGCTCTATATGCATGAAACAGGGTGTTAAATATTTAAACTCTAAATTTCAACACTATCAGTGGCATGTATGCTCTGTGTGGCAAAGGGGGGGGTGAGGGACCAAATGCAGGACAGAGAATGATGTGAAAACAGCTTTATTGCTGAACTTGACAGACTAGGAGCAGGATGCAAAATAAACACATGGCTACAGCTGAAGCTAAGAACGAGGGAAACAGATCACACAGCATGAAGGAAGAAATTATGTGATAAAGAATTAAGGACCACCAAGGGCTTAAATACACATACTGTAAGCTAACAAGGCAAATAGAACACAATACAACATAAATAACATAACAAATGTTTAAACTGAAACATTTTACAAGTTTAAGCACAAACTGAGCTCATTTCAAATTTGATGTTTGCTACAGGTCTCAAAATAGACAGGCACATGTGTATCATGATGTAGCATCTTCTCCTCTTTAGAGAACAGTCAGTCTGGGCATCAAGGGTATGCGTTTCTGGAGTTTTGGTTTTGGAATTTGATCCCATTCTTGTCTGACAGATTTCAAGTTGCTGAAGTAGTTGTTGGTGTCTTTGATATATTTTATGTTTAATGAGGTGCCAAATGTTCAGTCAGACAGTCAGGCCAATTCAGCACTTGGACTCTTTTCAGGTTAAACCATGCTGTCATAATAGCTGCAGTATGTGGTTTTGGATTGTCCTGCTGAGATACACAAGGCCATCCCTGAAACAGACGTCACCCAGAGGATATGTTGGTCTAAATCCTTTATATACCTTTCAGCATTCATAGCTCTTTTCAAAACATGCAGCCCATATTGTGTACAGTTTCCCAGTCGGAACATTTGTCATGTTATCTATTTTGTGAATAAAATATTTTTGTTGTAATTTGAAAGTCTTTTAGTTTTCATTTTGTTCAAATTTAAAGAATATCACACCTTTCTCCCGTGAGTAAGTTACAGATGTAGTGCACTTACTCAGAATCAGAATCAGAATACTTTATTGATCCCTAGGGGAAATTATTTTTCGTTACAGTGCTCCATTACAAACAAACAGTAAAAAGACAGACAATACACAAATAAGAATAGCACCATATATACATGCATATATATAGATAAAGTCACTTATTAATAAATATCTGAAGGGTATAGCTATTGCAGTATACAGTGTGTTATGTGGATAAGTTTTACAGAGAGATTGCCACAGGCAGGAATGATTTCCTGTGTCGTTCAGTGGTGCTTTTCGGTAATCTCAGTCTCTCACTGAACTTCTCTTGTGACTGACCAGCATGTCATGGAGTGGGTGGGAGGTGTTAGCCAACATTGTCTTTATCTTGGACA